TGTAGAGCAGCAGCAAAACAACCAGTGATATCCTTTTCGGGACCCTACATAATTGCTCATTTATGCCACAGCATCATGGTTGGGCTTAGTGTTATGTGCAAACCTGGCCTCTTCCTCCAATGTAAACCATGGTTTTATTGTACACCTGAGATCTTAATTAGGGTTAAGGCAAGGAATATGGAGTGGAGCCTGCAAGCATCTTCACACTTCCCAAATACATGAAGCAAGGAGGGGGGAGAAGAAACAGGGCTAATATGTCTTAAATCTGCTGAACTGAAAAGTGACACACCTAGTACCAATAGCTCCTCATCTTCAAAGCCCATTTCCTCCCGTTCCTCTCCCATCATCAGATATGATCTAGAATTGTCCGCTGCATGTGGGCAGATACAATGGGATAACCTTTAACTTGGTTGCAACAGATTCCCTTTCTGACTGGTTAAGTCATGCCTCCATTTTGCAATCTAGGCATGAGGCTTAGCTATGCCCTTCAGTAATAATAATAATAATAATAAACCCTAAATATAGCATGGAATGGTGATAAACAGATTTATTTTTTACTGCCTCATGCTGCAGTTGCCTTGAAATTTTAACATCAATGAGATCACATATGGGCTTGATACCAACGCACAAAATCCTCGTGTTGCCTGCCTGTCGCTCAGCTGATGAGCTTCTGGAGGAGTTTCCCATCCAGAAAGGGGAAAGGAGGACAGGGAAAGACATCCTTGCCTGTTGCTCTGTGGCTAGTCACATGTTGCCAGCTGGCATTTGATCTAGACTGTGTTTTTTTCCAAGGGTATAAAAAGAATTAGCATCATCTTCCCAGGAGAGAAATAAAAATGGCAGATGCGCATTCCTTCACTGCCTACCACACCCATCTACCCATCTGTGCCTTCCTCCAAAAACATTTCAGCCCAGGCAACGCTGAATTTGGAGAAGGGGAAAAAAGTACTGCATGAGCACAGGGCTGGATACATATCAATCACAGCAGCAAAGTGTAGAACATGCACTGTAGAACACGACACTTTCACATAACCCCAAAGGTAAGCCCATTCTTCTCATGCTCAAGACAGTAGCTGGGGAGAGGGGGAGTTTTCTCCAGGAAACACAATCCAATTCCAAGTCTACAGCTACTGAGCTCATGTCTCTTCTTTGCACATTTAAACTTCTGCAACTGCCTTTCTTGAGAGGGCCCCACCCCAGGACAAAGAACAGGACACCATAAAAAAGCAGCAACACGTTTTCTGAAGCATTCCAAGGAATTCCGGCCTTCTGCAGAGTTCTGGAAAAGCAGTCCCATGAACCATAACAAAACAATGAAACAGAAGTCCTGGAAGGCTGCAGACTTCCTGTTTATTGTTAAGGCAGGTTCATGTGCTATACCTTTTCCCCTACAAGGGTAAGACTGCACCACTGGTTTTCTACAAGATCCATCCTGAAAACAGCACAAAGAAGAGCTGGTGTGGTGGTTTTGCACCTCATCCCAAGCTCTATCATCGATTACTGTGAACAAAAACAGGAAAAGGGGAGCACTAAACAGGGATAAAGTTAGCATCTCATTAAAAAAAAAAGATACAGATCTTCCCATGATTCATATGGACAAATGTTGTGTGATGCTGATGTCCTTCTTCCAGGCCACAGTTCATGAGCCTTTGTTAATGGAAATCTGCATTTTTTGTTTGAAGCTGAAGGCTGAATTTGCACAAATATTGTATACCCTTTCATCCATCCTCCACAGACACTGCTAATTTTTCATGTGGAGCTTTGACAGTGTTGCTGATATGCAGTCCTGAGTCACTGCCCATCAGCTGGTAGGTGGAGGCTTCCTGTAGGGATTGGCTGCAGTGATGGAGCTCCTAAGGGAAACTCAGTCATGCGGCATCTCTACCTCCCTAGTACCGGATCTCATATACAACAGGTGGGTGTGGTTTGGGGGGGGAAAGGCCTCACAGGCTAAACTGAGAACTGTGTTAGCTTGAATTTCACCAGTTCTGCATCCTGATTCAGAAACATACAAGCAGGGTCTATTGGAAGCAAGCAGACTCCTTAAAAACAGCCAACAGGACAGGGAATCACGCTTCAAATTCTGAAGAACACCAGCACCCCAAGCTCTGGCAAAAAAACCCAAATCCAAATCCAAACTGCAAAAACACTTTCCAGTGTAGAACTCCAGGCTAAATACAGCACCATCCTTGTTAGCAACAGTGTGTTCTAGCTGCCCCTCTGGTCCCTTTGCTTGGACTCGCATGGATACCACATCTTAAAGGCTGGAGCAAACAAGGAACATTCAAGCCCTTTTCTTAATTGCCTGCTCTCCCTTCAAGCAAAAGGCGCTTTCATAACACAATGTGTCTTACCTGGCTTCTCAGCACTGCTTTTACTAGTCACAGTTTTCACGATCTTCTCACTAAATGAAACAAAAAAATGGGGAAATAATTATGCAAGCCCGGTTGTTGACAGCAAACCAACTATCAATAAATCAGCTAGCAAGAATTTTGATTCTAATGACAACCTGAATTATCTGGAATACAGAATGGACTTTTATTGTTAAAAACCGGTAGAGTCTAGGATTGTTCATTTAATATACAGCTTTAAACACCCAGAGGAGAACTGTGAGTTGTCCCCCAAGCCTCCAAATACTGATTTGGGCATTTAGTGCCACCAGTCCCAAGCATGGAACCCCTGACCTCTGCAACAGAGGTTCTAAGGCATCCTTACTGTAAACCATCAGATGTGTCTTGAAGACTTTTAAGCTGACAGACCTACTCAGTTTTTTACTTATTATTTTTTTATATGAGCCATTTTTTACAATTTTGTGTTGTTTCATGGTATTTTATGTCACGCACCGCCTTGATATTTTATGCCACTAGGCGGTTAATAAATACTTTGATCAATGATTGAAAACAAAACAGGGATAAATCTCCAAATACATTTATTCACTTGACTGATTATAATGCCAAGAAGAAGAATGTCTCGAAATGTGTTGTGCATTTTATTCTCCTTGCTTAAACTCAACTTCTAAGCCACTTTTAAAAAAATTAAAGCTGAAAAATAAAAATCCTGACCCAAAAGATGTCAACGGCAAGCATTCCCCACAGCATCCTCCATGGGGTGCAAGATTCTCCCCTAAGAGTGCCTGGGCTTTTTGCCCCCTGTGGTGATCAATGAAATAATTACAGGGAAACAGATTTAATGAATTCTTTTGTTTTACCTAGAAGCCTCTTTGCTATTACTTGTATTTGGCCCTTTTAAAAGCGCAGACTGAACAAGACCAGTTAAACTGGCAATCTGTTTCTCCATTGCTTGCATCCTCTCTCTGTAAGACAAGAGAATCGTTTGTTAAAGCCAAATGTATTTAACTTCCAAGACTTGATTTCTTTTCTAGCTGAACGAGGACCACAAGATTAGAAAAGGAAGACACCATGGAATTTGCTCAGTGCCTCCTGGCCATTAATTTTCATGTACCTTGTGTGAGAGGAAGACCAAACCACCACATCCTTTGTCAAAGTGCTGTATGGACTAAAACCAACATTCATTACAACAGTCACAGCTGCCCCTTATGATCTCTCTCCCTGCCTTTTATGATCTGAGCTAACTTCTCAGCTGCCCCACTACATTCTGATCATCCTTTCTCTAGGCTACTGTAGCCTTTTTCTTAACAGGTCTTCTCTCCCTCCTGCTGCGTCTCTCTGCCCCCTCTCTCTGGAAGAACCGGAATCTTCTTCCTTGCGCTGTGTTCTTTGCAAGCGTCTGTACTGCTTGCCTGACTTTCTCCACCACCGACTGCAAACTTCGGCTCTTTTAGAAAGTTCCTCGCCTTTTTACTTGTGGGCTGTACTTCTTCTCTCAAACTCCTGTAACTCTCAACCTCCACTCCATAAGTAAACTCCTCTGGTTTGGGCTTCCTCGGTCCCTGTGTGCCACTCCTATCCTTTCAACATGCAATGGCATCCTCTATCCTCGGCACTGTGTCAGGATTGTCCTTCAGCAGGATCCAGTCCTTCAGCATGCTGGAGGGGCCAGCCCTGCTTCATGGACCAAAGGTTCTCCGCCCGTGCACTAAACAAACAAACCAAGTCATCTTAACACCAAAGATCCATAGCAGATCAGGCCATTTCCTAACATGTATAATGAAGCGGGTGGCGCTGTGGGTTAAACCACTGAGCCTAGGACTTGCCGATCGGAAGGTTGGCGGTTCGAATCCCTGTGACGGGGTGAGCTCCCGTTGCTCGGTCCTTGCTCCTGCCCACCTAGCAGTTCGAAAGCATGCCAGTGCAAGTAGATAAATAGGTACCACTCTGGTGGGAAGGTAAACAGCGTTTCCGTGCGCTGCTCTGGTTCGCCAGAAGCGGCTTAGTCATGCTGGCCACATGACCCGGAAGCTGTACGTCAGCTCCCTCGGCCAATAAAGCGAGATGAGCGCTGCAACCCCAGAGTCGGTCACAACTGGACCTAATAGTCAGGGGTCCCTTTATAATGGTGTCTGGGTCGGCTCTGTTTGCCGGTCCAAATTAGAAGCATTCCCCCCCGCCCATCTCTAAACCACCTTAGTATTGTCTGACTTTCTTTTCAACTTAATAGCAGCCAATTCTTGTTCCTTCTGCAGGTTTCCCATGAAAACCACTTACTGAATGACCCAGGCCTCCTCTTGTCTTCACCTCATTCGCCACCTGACTCTTTCTTACGGCTATCAGTCTCTGAACTCTCCCCTCTTTGGTCATTATTTTAGTTCCATTTAAAGTCGAAGACATTATCTGCTCTGTCACCAAATGGATCAAGATTTGTTTTTAACATTAATCCCCTTTGACAGATGCTTTTGAACAAGTCCTACGAGGAAAAGTGATCCTTCCAAGTAGATGGGCAACTTGTACAATTGTGGATCTATTTATAGCGTGGGCTTATTCTATGGCTTAAAGTACAAAGGTTTACTGTGCAGCAGAATTGGTTATTTCAAAACCCAAGCATCATATTAGGCATCTTATGTAGGCAGGCTTTCCACACACGCCCCATAGCTCAGTGGTAGAGCACCTGTTTTGCATGCAGAGGATCACAGGTTCAATACCCATCATCTTCAGGTAGAGATGGAGGAGACACCTGCCTGAAAAACCTGGAGAGCTGTTGATGGCCCATATGGACCACACTGAGCTGCATGGACCACTGGCCTGACTCAGGATAAGGCAGCTTTCCATAAGTTTCTACCCAACCCTTTTGTTTTTATCTCCTGCACTTGTCTGTTTTATTAGATTGTTTTTGATTTTTTTTTAATTGTATTTTATTTTTTGTTTCTAATTGTTTTCAGCTGCCTTGGGTGGCGTGTAGTCATCTCAAAGGCTGGGCGTATGTTTTAAAAACATATGTAAATACATAAATTAAATACGTCGAACCAAGCACTGAAATTATGCTGCTTTTGAAAATAGGAATGAAAGCAGGAAGGAACAGTTCAAGCAGTAGCTACAGTGGGCACTTAATATGCAAAGTGAATGGGACTCATTTATTTGCTTCTGGGAGAGCACGGAAATAACCCAATCGCAGACTTATATGTGGATTAGAAAACAGTTAACCTTTGGATTGCACACTTCCCTGAATTTTGTGGCTCAAAAATGCAAAATAAAATGTGTCTGTTTACATCTGAAATGTATACAAAAATGCATATTATAAGGGAAAGGATACAACAAAAAAAGCCCCTTTTGTGTGCAGTGTGAGCCAAGTCAATCTAATGATCATGACCTACAAGACCCACCTTAGCTGGGGTTCACTTTGAAGGCTCCTTTCAGGTCAGCATGCAAGATCCACCTAGCTGAGAAGTGAGATTCTTTGAGGGCTAGGAGCAGTCTCTTCTCTGGAATGCCTTTGCAAAACAGGACCACCTTAATCCACATTTTCAGGAAAGGGGTGTGAATCTTACTGCCTTGCTTCTGCTCAGGCCAAATCAGCAGGAATCATTTTAAAGAGCAGTATGAAGTCACACCCTTAGCATGACTGCCTTGCAAGGAAGCCTGAAGTTGGCAAGGGTGGTACAGAACAGCCAAAATGGCAAACCTGCACCCTTCCCCAAGGAGCTTTCTTCTCCTAGCTGTGAATTGCACACACTCATCAAGCTGCACAGTGACCTAGCAAAGCAGAAGGAGTCTTGCACACTTTCCAGATTTTCTGGGCAGAGTTGTTATTCTGTTCCAAGACTATCTTCCTTCTCTGACTGTCCAAAATAAAGTCTAAAAGAAGCACAATGGATACAAGCCTGTGTCCCTCTGGAGTCCAATAACAGAGTTCTGTGATACTTCCTTTTGTACAGGCAGATCTCTCTTCTTATTGTTCAATTGAAGCTCTGTGTGAAACAAGCCTTGTCCTGTCTTACAACTAGCCTGAGGTCATTCAGAACAGGGCATTAGCACACGTTCCTAAATTGATCTCTACCTCTCACTCTAAAATTATCTGAGCACTGCTTATACGTTTTTTCCTTCTCCCAGAGGCACCTTTTTTTACTTTCACATTGAAGAGGTGACACATCATCATCATCATCATCATGCCTGGTGCAGGCATAAACCAGAATGCCAGTCATAAAAATCTTCCATTCAAGTTCATCTGCTTCATTAGTCTACGTGTGCATTAAATATAGACAGATGATGTATCTTTGGGTGAGCAACTTGGAGGAGTAGCACTCTCACACATATATTATTAAGGAAGTGTTCCAATTATTTTATACTATAATGAAAACTAAATTGAAGCTCTCTCAGAAAAAGAGAGCGAGAGCGAGAGAGAACAGACACATAGCTCAGGGGTGGAAGACCACGTTTTGCAAGCTGAAGATCATGCTAAAGATGGAGCAGAATTTTGGAACTGGGGAGGGCAGCCCTAAATGAATTCCTCCAGTTCCGAAAAGCTGAAGCTATTACAAGCAGAGCCAAACTCTCCCCTGAACCTCAGCTCAACTTGTAATTAAATCTTTGGGTTCGCATCTTCTCCATTCCCCTACTCCTTCACACTTGGGAAAGGGTCAAATAAATAGCTCCCACCTTCTCTCTTTAGAACTAACCACAGTTCCCCATGACATTCAAACTCAGGGAGCTGTGGTTTGTTCTAACTATAGCTAGTTAACTAAACCAAGCCCTGAGTACAGACCTCCTCTTAGCTTCACTTGAAATAACTATTGTCTTCTAGAACCAGGTAAAGACCACCACCAAGGGATAAATCATGCAAGGAAGGCATCTGCCTGCCAGATTGAATGGCTAGCCTGGAAATCTGTGGCTAAGTCAGAATTAGCTCACTAGTTTGGGACCGCTTTGCATTTGCTATTTTAAACTGCTACAAACCAAATTGCTTTTATGGTTTTAAAGTTAAGACTTCAGAGGCATGGTAAACATTTCCGAGGTTAGACAACAGACTAATCTGTGGAAATGGTTTTTCGCTTTCCGAAGAAGCTTCTTAAATGGCCCCATAGCCGCAGAAAGTTCTTTTTCTAAAAAGAAAAAAAAGCAGGAAGGTGGCTGCATAATTTTACTAATGTGCTCAATATTGCATCTGAACCACAGGCTTTTTAAATATATATATATATTCAGAAGCACCATTATGAAAATGGTCTATTTATCACTGTCAATTTCACAAGAATAAGCCACTCTTGGTCCTAAAGTGAGCATTTAGGAGGCTTACTTAAAGGCTGTGCAGCAGCTTACAAAGTAATAGCATATTCGACTTCTGGGACCTGTGGGGGGAGGAATTTGTGGTTAGGAATGAGGCACGGCTGGACAAGTGACTGTTGCTGGAGACACAAGCTGTTATGATGGCTGTTTCTAGATTAAATGCATGACGTGTTTACAGCTCAAAAGCAATTATCTCTACCTCATATAATCATTACCGGCACAATAAATTCTTATTTATGATGTAAGAAATCTGGAATTAGCTACTAGGCAAGGAAAGTGGCAGTCACCCTGATGGTCAAACTGGGAGCAATGCAGATCCCTACTGCCTGCCACCAGGGCTACTGGTCAGAGGGCAGGACCTGCTAGTTTTATCAAGTTTGTACCCTATTAGTATAACTCACTTGATTCATGAGAATCAAGTAAGAAACACCATGGATCACACCATTAAGATAAAATAAATATCTATAAGTACAGCTTGTTCTCTCTCTCTCTCTCCTTCCTTTTATTTATTTGCTTTTAGCACCAAGAAAGGCACAAGCTTGTGCACAATAAACAACATATTATTTACTTAACAAGATAACAGGATGGATCCAGACTTAGTCATACTTAGTTCCCATGTTTAGGGAAGTTTTTAATATGTTTGAAGTTTTATTCTGTTTAATATTTTGTTGGGAGCTGCCCAGAGCCGCTGGGGAAACCCAGCCAGATGGGCAGGCTATAAATAAAGTAGTAGTAGTAGTGAACCCATCGGAATCTATGGCACTTAAGTTAATCATCAATAACTTCAGTCCCACTGACTTCAGTGGGTCTATTCTAAGTCAGAATCCAACCTGGCAAACAGGGTTACAAGTATATCTCCTCTATATCACATAGCCATATGTAAGCACATCAAGAACAAAGGACGCATAGAGTTGAAAAACTGCCAAGGGTCCCCATACAAAGCCTAGAAGTGGACAAGATGCATCCATTGAATGCACCCCTATAGTTTGTCAGTAGGCAGGATGAGAGAATATGGGCCACAGGTGAAGGGCTCCCATTTCTCATTTGGGTCTTTTGAAGCTGCCACACAAGACTAAGAGGCCACAGTGACGAAGGACACGGGAGAGACTCAAATCTTACCTGTCCTTCAGCTGTCACATGACACACACTCATCCAGACAAAAGCCATATCATCTTGCTCTGCCTTACCTGGTCTCATTCTCTTTGGGTATCACTGCTGATCCATAGCCAAAAGCTTTCTTGTCAGGTACCGACGGGACTACCTCAGCCATGCCGGGTAAGCCCATGACATTTCTTGGTTTTGCTTCTACAAACACAGGTGTCCCCGGGTCTTTCTTAAGGGACTGGCGACCTGGAGACGACCTCTCAAGGTGAATGGTGTGAGGAGACACTTGGGAGTTGTGATGGGCGTGAATGTCTACCATCCGAACATCAGCTACTCTGTGAGGGGAGGCAGGAGGAGTTTTGGAGCCCAGAGTCGGCAAGTGGCTGTCGGGGTACTTCCTTGATTTTTGCCGGTACAGCGACTGCTCCATGATCTCAGGCTGCATAGGAGGGTTACAGTAAGTACTTGAAGACCTCATGGTGCTACGATGGTAAGCAATGATGTGGTCAGGAACGTCAAGAGGGTGCCCCGCATGTGAACCTGCGATGCTCATCCTGCCCTCGTGGTACAAGTAAGGGTCAGCATACAGCCCCTCATTCCGAAAAAGAGTAAGAGTTTTGCTACCCATGTCCTCGTCGGGCTTCACATCCCTTCTTTCCAAAATGGCGCTGGGGCTCGGTGAGATGGATCTTGAGGCTGGCATGTTTGAGAGCCTGTCCCTGGGAATGGTGGCATTGCCAGGGCCGCCGACTGGCCTGGCAGTGCCATAGGGGATCCTGGATGGGGAAGGAGGCATGGAGTGGGGCACTGGCGTAGCCGGTGGAGAGATTGGCAGTGCATGAGGGGGATGCGCAGTAGATCCTGGCCGAGAAGAATTGGGGAAGATTTCTCTCTGCATCTGTAACACAAAGAAATCCACTTAAGAGGCATGCTTCTGGGTTATCCTAGGCAAGGATGCAGTGACACAAAATTAAAAATCAAATTTTGAAAGTGAAAATCCTTACCTATACTTTATCTAACTCTAGAGGTATAGGTTGAATAACATACAATATTCAACAATACTAAAGAGCCTTCCCCTCTTTATTTGTATATACACATACTAATTCATCATTATTTCCAGTGCTTTTTCCCCCAGCCGGAGCATGGTTCTGGTACTTCTCAGGTGGGCACCATTGCGGGCCAGCGACTTACTGTAACAACTTCATCGTGAGTTCCGGAACTTATTATTCTTGGGGCGGGGGGAGCGAAATTATTATATCAACATTATTCTGATTTCAGATAACCATTTTGGTGAGTTCTACCTAAGCAAAATGTACACATGAAGCAACTTTTG